TTGCATCTTTGCGTGTGCGCACACTGGTACAGTTAATGCACATTGCACAGCTTCGATCGTCATCTGGTATTACTGAAGTCATCAAAGTTTCGCCCGAGGTTCTCTTTTATGGTTTTCGCATAACACTGCATCGTCTTGATATTATACAAGGATGCTTTTATGAGCCTAATCAAAATATAAGCTTAAAGTACAAAGTAAATATGTTATTAAACCCGGAAAACTCTAAGAGGCATAAAGAGATGGATCGTTCTAATTAAGGGCATTTTCCTTCCCACGACTACTGGCGAGAAAGTATCGCGAAACATATTTCACGCATCATAGTTTTCACCATTAAAACTTGGAAAGATAGAGCAATGCTCTCGACACGCGTTCCTATTTATGTTGTCACCGGTGAGCATGCTGGTTCTAGTACGTGTTATGGCTTTACTGCCGCACTGCCGCGTCTAACGCATTGTGCGGTCAGATATCGGGGAGAGGCGACGTCGCCAGATGGACTACCGGTTGTACAGGGAAAGAATATCTTCAGACTACTTGTGTGGACCTGTTTGACCGACTTTATTCGTTCAGTCTCCCTGTTACACATTTTTCTCTCAGAGGGTCCAACTTAAGCTGAACATAATCCTTTATGAACTGATGGCGGCATTGTGTGAGCAGTCCTGAGCAATTTTTAAATATGGTTATGCAGCATTTCACTCCCAATGTATGTTATACTTCAGAAACTTTAGTGTGAATCTTTCTTTATGTTTTGCTGGCCGCCAAGTAGAATCCTAGATGTAGGATCAAGACTTACCAATGTTCGGCCACCTCGGTACCATTTTCAGAGTACATAAGAATGATAATATATATATATATATATATATATATTTATATTTTTCTTCCATTTCTGCCCCAAAAAGATCCTCAAAATGATAAAGCAACCATGATGATATTTATTGGACCGAATTCGACACAGAATGCACTTTTTGGAGACAAGATATTGATATTTTTCGGATAGTGTTTCATTGAATGCTACAAAAAAGCTTCAGTCCAAAGAATTTCTCTATTTATTGTTATTGCAGTTCATCGTGATCAAATTTTTGAGTTGTTATTCCTATCTACACTGAAGCTATGAATTTTGCAAATACAACTTGTAACCCCTGCTTATGGTAAAGTTCAATATTATTTTTCAGGAAAATTTTATCGATCTTCTATATTAAACCTATCACGACTTTCTGAATCGCTTTAATTATGTCGTCTTAGAATCTACAATTTCTGGCTCGCAATACCTAACGTACAAAGCGTTAAAATTATATTGAACTATCTACTTTGCTACCTTGTCCAGAGTACAATAATTGTTAACAGATACCAATAAGCTCTTGTTTATAGCGAAATGTTGCCAAAAAGTTATCAGAAGTGACAAACACACTGTATATCTGCTACATTCTAACGAAAGTGTAGATAGTATCATGCTGTTGCCCTGGAGCTGGTTGTTTTTTCTATTCGAACCTCTCCGGATTGCCGTTAATACATCTACCAAATTGAGGGTCTCTCTACCATCACCTAGAGCATGAATGAGAAATTAGCTACATCGACCACGCAGACTTCCAGAGCTGAGCTCTCTCGCCCGGCGATTACGCGGTTCCATATTAGTACGTATATCCGGCACTTTGCATTTTCAATGAAATACACGGCTTGATTTATAACTTCTCAGGGCTGTGGCATTGCTCGTAATTAAGTAGTGCTACGACAGATATATCAGTTTACAACGGTCCAGTGAATCTGGCGGAGCATTAGTCAATGCTTAAAGGTTATATGTATTGATCAGATGTTGGACTACTTGAACGAGTGGCATTATTCTCATAATGAGTTAATTTGTCTGGCATTGTAGTAACCATTGTCGACTGCTCTCCCTACTTTGAAACTTAGTCTCAATCTTCCTCAGCGTTATTATTATTGATATTGCGACTCGCTTTCGATCGGCTGTAGCACGCTGCCCTCTTGTGCAAGCATCCATCCTATCAGCTTCCAGAAAAATTTTGCTGATTTGTGTTTGCTCCTTTTTCGGTCATAAGACACCCAACATAAGTGTTGCGTTCTTCCCTTCACTTTATGATATCGAGAGGAAAGTTCTACATGGGCGGATTTTTGTTTGGCATTATTTATGTTATAGACTTATTCTCCCTCCTTCATCATAGATGCGATCTACATCTTCGTGGATGGTAGCGACAAAGGATTTGGAGAACATAGTAATAGAAGGTCAAATTTTACCAAGTGGTAATCAGATTTTGCTTGCTGAAGAATTGAAATCACAGACTTATAAATTGGTACAGGGATCATTTTGGGTTACCTGTTCAGATGAACTTTTCGTCACCCAACCGTGGGTTCGACTCTATGGTTTGGCCGCATTCTGTCCCTGCCAAATGGACCAACCAGACGTCTCCTTCTCACTCTATTCGATCCAGCCCTTGTATATGGAACTATCAATCTTGTTGGCAAATCTGGAACAATTATTTTATCATCTGCTAATTAAAAAACAAATTGACATGTGAATCCACATGAACCGTGTGTATGTAGTACTCCTGGTTATACAACTGCTCCCAATTTTTATTTTTCTTAATATCGTACAAGTTCGGTAACTACGGTTCTTATATCTGTATCTTATATACTGGCATTTGGCTAATTTTACAGCAATGCATAAGAATTTCTCCAACAACCTCCAGGCTCCATTTTTGCAACTCATTTTTGTGCCATTGATGCCGTCGTCATATAAACCCTAATTGCTGCAATAAAATGTAGGAACTGAATTTTGCACCGCTGTCGTAAAATAATGTATCTTATAGATAATCCAGCAGATTTCCTGATTTATGTGAATATCAACTTTGGCGGCATTTCATATTCATATATGCAAGAATCAAACGGTAATACTAGACGAACAGGTAAATATGCATTTATTTGGTATTTACTATAATTGCTTGGGAATCTTCTTGCGACATTAAAATATGAGCAAAATAATGAGAAAACTATCGCTTTAGATATATAACGAATATATATTACGAGGATGATTTGAGGCTGTTTTAACCGGTCACATGAATACGAGGTGTGCCACTTACTCCAGTGTTATTGATGTTTTCATATTATTATGCCCTGACATGTTTTGTTTGCTCATTTGTTCTTGGCACCTTAGGCTATATTATTCCGGCATTTTTGTTACATCAGCGTCTAACAGTATCTAGCAGTACCCCGATAGATTATGAAAATATTTTAGAAAATTGTTCCAATATCATGATGATCGAGAAACAACATAGTACGAAACCTTGAATATCTTATGTGACGATCCGGTTTTTTTTACGTATATACCTACTGTCTCATATATAAACTTATGTTCTGATGAGAGCTAATGAAAGTACAAGTGTACCTTTTTAATTACGACAAAGCACAACAGGCTGTTATTTCATAATATAAGGAGAAACAGGTTGTTACAGCAGCACTTCTGAACTTACACTGCTTGTAATCGCTGTCTAGTGTATCTTCACATTTAGTACGCTGCTTTTTCAAACAAAAGGGCTTTGTGAAAGTGGCTTTTACTGGCTAAGTTGCATCATCACGTTCCCACTCTCACTTGAGAACTGCAAGTGAAAGTGGTTGGGTTACCTTTGTGTGCTTTTCTAACACAACTTTTCTCGTGTTCAGAAATTAGTTTGTTTATAGTTTTACCTAGAATAAAAACTCAAGAATAATTCCAGCTTGACATTATGTCCTAATTGGATGTGTGGATTTGATGTAAAATCTGAGAGGTATACTTCAATTTGATAAAGTAAAAAATGCAAAAACCAGTAAGTTTCAAATGTTGTAGTGTAACCGTTCAAACTCGAAGTCAAAAATATTTGAGGTAATCATTCGGTAAACCAGTTCGATAACTTTTAAATTATTAGTACTTTTTTAAAATTTATTCCAACTACACCTTATTATAATTGCGAATAAACAAATGTACAGTAACACGTTTTACCATTTGAAAATTTAAATCAATAGGAATAAACTTGTATAAATCGTTGCATTAACGCAGAAATAGCAATACTCAAATTTTTTGTTTGATTTATAGGTTCGAAAAGACAGATATTCTAATCACAATTATCTTAACGATTTTATTAAATAAATTAATTTTTAAACTTATTTTGCCTATAAGTTTTATTGAGGAAACATAGACACAGACACTGTTTAAAGACTACCCTAAGTTCTAATTCTGTAGAATATACCTACCGTCCTTCTTATTTTTGGTATTGATTGTGCGCAAAAATTGCTTGTAGATTTTAAGCGCTCTTACTTAGTAAACTTCTTACATCATGCGATGAATAGTACAATTTACTGTAGGGGAGAAGTGGCATGAAAGAGCCAGTTTTATAGACGTAGCCAAAAAATATACTTTTAATGAATGAAATGATTATTTTTTTAGTCAAACCATTATTTATTTATTAAAGTATATATTTCATACAAAAAAATCTAAAATACGGTATATAAAACCAATGAAATATACGTTTTTTAAAAATGTGTCATTTGGCTCCTTCATAACATTTCGGTATTGAAAGAGCCACTAAAAGTAATGAAAGGGGCAGCTTGTATTATAACTTGAAATTGTGAAAATTATACAAACTAATAAGTATACACTATTAAAAAACAAATGAAAAAAAAATTCTAACAAATTCTTTTAAAAACTAATGATATTTTATAATAAATATAAACTTAACATATTAGAGGCGGATTATTTTTTATCAATAACAGTGTTGAAATTAAATAAACCAACAAATAATATCTTTTATCAAAAACAAAATCGTTAAATCTATCAGAACAGAATATAATGCGTATTCTTCAAATTAGAAACATGTCTTGCAAAAGAAATGAAGCTTCCCCTTAATACCACAGGATTCATGAGCCCAACCAGAACAAATTTTGCACTGAAACCAATCTTGATCACTGTCTTTATATGTTTTGCTGCAAACTACACAATCATCACTATTGTTATTTGTCTATGGGTTTATTTTGCTTCGAACACCCTTTGTTTTTAATTCAGCCAATACGATAGAGTCAGACGAATCAGATTCATCTTGCAGAACGGAATTTTCTTTATTTATTTCTGATTTTGTTTTAAGCGTTTTTATGGAGTCTTTTGTGGTCATTTTCTTAACAGTAACTTTTGGTTTCTTTGCACTATACCCTTTCTCCTCTATTTTTTTCCTTTGGGGAGAGTCGGTTACGATAGCAGATGACATTTTTCTATTATTTCGTTTCGTGTTTTGTCTTGGCCCCGCTTTAGAAAATGGTCTTATCATCTCCGGTGATATAATTCGTTGACTCGGATTTGCAGCCGTGGGGGTGGAGGTTGAACGGTGAGAGAGTCTGATATTCTGATCTATTAGAAGCTCATTTTCTTCGCCAGCTTCAAGCGATTTTGTAGAAGATGGAGGTGTTTCTTTCCATACTTTCCTTATACAAGTTCAAACCATCGTTTGACTGCGGATCAAGTCTATCAGTCACATATGAAGATAAAAATGCTTCTTCACTAAATATATTAGAATTTAATGGATAAATTCCTGTTTTCAAAAATCCTGCTGTTATATTATGTGGACTGAAAGCTGACAAATATGCTTCTTTTACAAATTGCCCAATTTGATAAATAGTAACTGTTTTGTCAGGGTTCGTCAACATCCATTCATTCATGGCAGTGCGGCACCTAGTTTTGAAAGGCCCATATACTGTGATATCTAGTGGTTGCAGTTTATGACTGCAGTGCGGTGGGAATGTAACTATTATGATGGAGTTTTGTCTGGCAAATTCAACCACTCTGAGATGTACATGAGAGGTGTGATTATCCATTAATATCAATGCTGGATTCTCTTTTGCTGGCCTGACATGTATTACAAAGTGTTCAAGCACTTTCACAAAACAGTCTTCAGTCATCCATCCAGAAACTTGAGCCAATCCTAGGGCTCCTGGCGGACCATTATTTAACATAATATCTTTATAGTTTACTCTAGGAAACACAAAAACGGGCGGGAAAAAACCACCAGCAGCATTAATAAAGAACAGAGTTGTGACCAATGTTCCTCGTTCAGCTGAGGTAAGTTGCCCAATTTGTATCGAACCCCTTTCAGCTATGACCTTAGGAGGATTGGTGACGGTGCTGCAGCCTGTTTCATCGGCGTTAAAAATCCTATGAGGAGGAAATTTGTATCTTTGTAAAACTGTGTTTAATTTCTCAAAAAATGTGCTTACATTAGCTTTATTAAAACTTGTTGCACGGGGTAGAGAAGTGCTTTCAGGTTTTCTCATAGTTAAGTCTTTGTGTCTGCTCATAAACCCTTTGAGCCAATCATCAGTTGCAGTTTCAACTTCTTTCCATTTGGGTGGACAGATATCATTGGCTACGGCATAATCAAATCCTAGCTTCTTTGCTTGATGTCTTGTTAGGCCATGGCACATTTTAGATGCGGTCTTTAAATAATCTGCGAGCATATTCTCCTGTTCTGTTGTGAAGATACGCCTGTTCCCTATATTAGGACAGTGTTCATATGATGAATCGCCAGACGTCTTTACTTTTTTAACGATTTTAGCTAAGTAAGCCCTCGATATGTTTAAGGCAAGTGCAGTTCTGTTTATGGACTGACCTTTCTCCAAAACTTCACTGACTGCTTCTTCAATTACCGATTTTTCGTTTTTTTGAGCCAGCCTTCTCCATAATGCAGTATCTGAAGCAAATAATTTAATAATATATAAAAATGCATATTTATTATTATAATAATTTATTACTAAAACTTAAATATAGGGTTATAAAAGAGCCGGTTATGAAAGAGCCAGCTCTTTTAAGGCCTATGCACCCGGCTCTTTTATAACTTATTGGTAAAAAATATATAACCTTCAAAATAACAGCAATATAAAACCTTTTGCCGCTTAGTGTTTACGCAGTTGCAAGGCCAATTATATGCACAAACTGAATCTACAATCCACATACTTATATTTGTTTACAATAAAATGCCAAAATTCTGCTTAGATAGAGCAAAATACTTACTTTTGGATGCCAAAAATTTTGACTCGATATACCGCCGCCTGTTATCACTAGCCAACTGTCAAATGTTTGTGGGTGGCGGGAAATCAGTGCTGCCACCTTAAAATAAGATCACCCACCAAATTCGTTCCTAAACCACCGAAATAATGCAAGTGGCTCTTTCAAAACCTGGCTCTTTCATGCCACTTCTCCCCTATAAGTTTCACAATTAAACCTTGGTGAAGTATTAAATAAAGTATGAGTAAAACGCGTTATGTCGGCTTCAATGATTTACTGTGAAACTTGTACAAGCACAGATATGTAAGTAATACTTTCCAGAAAAAAAAAACTCTGTTGACCCCAATTCACACAGATTTCACCATAGAGACCACTATGCACTTAATAATATAATATAATAATATAATAAAAGCTTAAATCCATTGGTAATACGTTTGCGAAAGCTTACATTGAAAATTCACATATCAGGTTTACAATGGTTTCTATCAGTGGCAACCTGTATTGAAATGCGGATATTTTGAAGATTTAACCATATCCGAACTTCTTATCTTTGCATGTACTTTTGACTCTAGAAATATTAAAATCCTTTTCTTTAAATCCTTATCTCGTCGTATTGGTAATACATGAATGTAACTCCTGAAACTTACCTATGTTTTTCATGTTCATCGAACTCCATTGTCCGGCCGAATCAAACCACATATATGTTTTTATTTCTGTTTATTGTACGACTTTTCGCCTACCGCCATGTCCTTTCTGCATCAATAGATCATCCTGCGGGTTTCTAAGTTTATAACGAAGGGTATTTTTGTTCCAGGTGCCCTGACGAAATCGCAGTTCCCAGTGTTCACGATCTACGCTCAGAAGAGCTGCTTAGGTGTGAAACCATGCGAGCGGGCATGGTGCATCGACAGAGTCCAGAATCACAAGCTGAATGGTTATGTGAAGAACAAGCAACCCGTGTCTTCCCGGCAAGAGTGCTTTGAACTGTGCTTGGGAGAGAATGAGTTCACCTGCAGGTAAGTTAGGCTAGTAGTAGTAGTGTCAGACATTTATTTACTGCATTATATAAAAACATTAATAACATGGAATGAGCAAATAAATGTTTCAATCTACAGAAGTAGTTCGATACGCGATGTTCTCAGGACTGGGACTTTATTATACTTGTACGTTTTGTAACACATGCATCAAAGATTTGAATTGATCGGGTAAAGATTCGATGCACTTTAGCACCCTAAATAGGCGCTCCACGTCATGGAACCTAACCGAGTTACTTGTTTATGAATCAGATTAAAAAACTTTCTGATACACTAGCAATAACATAGCCATCTTGTCCATATGAATTAAATTACGATGCCTTCAAGACTCTGCTGGCGCTTTGCGAGTATAGTTAGGTCGTTTTCGTTAAGGTCTATATCTTGCGGCACAAAAAAACCTAGGGACACATGCTGTTAGCGGAAACTTTAACACAGGTGCACGAAAGGACTTAGACAGCCTTTAGTGTTGGAAATTGGGATAAAAGTTAACAAGCAGCATTATTCATAAGCAACATCTGACAGGGCGGTACTAGGAAGTTCTCCATGTTTTTTCAGTCTGTTAAGTGAAACCGCATATGTAGTATTGACTGTTTACTGACGTAGATAAATATAAAATATGTTTCCATATTCAACTTGTACCTGGAAAGGCCACCGAGATGGCCGAAACGTCAGCAAAAAGTCAGCGTTACATATTATATAGTTTCATTTAACGGCGAGAAAGAAACATGAAGGGTTATTTATCAGCATCCTAACCACAGAGCAAGTTTCCGATGATTAGAATTTCTTCTCAAATGAACAATGATTTCTTTTCTTCCATTATTTTATTTGCTTCTTCGGTGCTGTTTTACCGCATATTATCTTTGCTATTTTAAGCATACATAGCTGTTTATGGATAAGATAAGTCTCAGCGCTGGAAACGTATAAAGAAAGTATTGCTTGTATGCAGTTTGTATGATTAAAGAAACTTTGAACGATAAATCTGGCAATAAATGTGTCCAAACGCTCAAGTGCTTATTACATGTCTATCTTGGAGTACTACTTGACAACTTGATAGTATCGTCTTGGTAGCGTTTCACTTGTAAGGAAATGGTGTATCAAATAATTATAAATAGATCTACAAATACCTGCTTACTACAACTTGACGCATTGGCAGTATTTTGACTTGTAAGCCAATGTTTTATCAAAAAATTATAAATTATTATTTTCTAAAGGCCGAAAAGTGATTTATGAAATATTATCTAGTCAAATACCGGCTACAGATACAAAGCTAAGCGCTTAGGATAAGAGTATCTGTGATCTACATCAACAAATACCTACTAACTATTCTTCTTTCCTAACCATCAACACCGATCTTCCGACACGATTTATGCTGGCGGCACGAAGCACAAGCATTCAATTTTTTGCGCGTCGTGCTCATAATAAATGGTTTTGATGAACAGTGTTATTGTTACAAAGTAGCCGTAATCCACTTGATACAAATTTTTATTGGCTGTCTCTTTAATGGCCCAAGGTGCTAAGCGCCACATTCTTCTGCCGCCTTACCATCCGTATAACACCTACACCCCGACATTGTGCCTATTGTCTAATAAAAGCAGACTCATGACGATCTACTAGTTATCCTCTGTTGGAGCCGGTATTCTGTGTTTTACGCTGCTCGTCAAAACTGATGATATAGTCAGCATTCGGTTGGTTAAAAAAATAATGGAAATATTCTAGGGCAGGAGGTAGGTCCAAAAATAAGATGAAAAGTTTATATAAACGTGGGGCCTGACATGCTATGTTGCCGGGATACAGGATCAAATCAGTCAATTCAACTTATAAAAAAGTATAGTTTCGGAGTATCGAGTTGGAACTTGGTACATGCATACAGCATAAAAATAGGAACAACATTTTTAGCGGCACCTTTGCCAGGACTCAGTTGAGCTACCGTGATATTCCTCTACAGAGATCACGCTTATATTTTCCTATCAGTCCAATGCTGTTTCCTCTTTCTGTTAAAACGAGTTCGCGGCTATCGATTCACTTGCCCCCACTGTGCACTTCGCTCCTGGCGAATAAACACAAACCAAACATATTTCCATCGTTGCGTAACGTAAAATATCTCTATTACCTGCTCTGTGAAGAGCATAAAAAAATCCACAAGATTTATCTAGCAGCAAAACAGAAGGAAGATAAGGCGATCCAGGCAAAAATGATAAATGATTTTAGCCGCGAGTATAGTTTTATTACTTGCAGTGTCCGAGCAATAGCCTGCAACGTATCATGGCGAACATCTGTAAAAATGTGTGTAAATAGCTTACTAAGTACCAGGGAGTTATTCAATCCTTCAAAGCCTCATCGAGATGAGTGGACGAAATGGATGATCTGCTTAATGCCCGCACCGTGACTGATGCGATAAAACAAGTGCTAAAAGTAGTGAAGCAGTGACGTGTGGCCAGTGCGGCCTACAGCAATAGTCTAGAGGAAGTTCTTCACTGCCACTGCGTGACTTTAAACTGCAGATTGATATTTGTTATACTCAAGTTTCAATACAGCTGATTGAGAATTCACACTTCACGGCCCTCTAGATTCTTCATGAAAATGTTATT